CGTCGTTAGGTCGACCAATGAGGAGGAGGAGGAGGAGGAGGAGGAGGAGGAGAAATAGCAGAAAAAAAGGAAGAGCACCTGCAGCATTACGAGTAGTCAGGAGAGGAATAGTGAGAGGGAGAGGAGGAAGGGGTGGTGGGAGACGGGCAGGCAGGCAGGCAGGCTTGTTAACGATCTCCTTCCTCTTGCGTCACCTGTAGCCGCAGTTGTTGTGCCCTGGCGTGAGAAATTCGTCCGACTCGATTTGAACCTGAGGAAACATGTCAGAGGAGCCTTTCCCTCCCATCGCCTCCCCTCCTCTCCTCTCCTCTCCTCTCCTCTCCTCTCCTCTCCTCTCCTCTCCTCTCCTTTCCTCTCCTCTCCTCCTTGCTCTCTGTCTCTCAGACCTTGGAGCCCTCGGGGATCGGGAACGAGAAGGAGTGGTGAGGAAACTTGTCATCGTCCGTAGTTACAGCAGCATTGACGAACACCTGCTGGAACTTTGAGAGGAGGGCTGGGCAAGGATCGTTTCTCACGCAGCACTGATGCTCCTCGTAGGGGATCAGATCCCGCGATGTACCCTGACAGGTGTGACAGGAGAAGACACTGAAGGGAAGGGGAGGGGAGGGAGGAAGGAAGCAGGAGGGGGCGGGATGAGGTGGGAGGGGATGGGAAGGGAGGGGAGCAATGTGAAGGAAGGGGAGGAGGAAGGGAGAGAGAAGCGAAGCTGGGAGGGGAAGGAGGAAGGAGGAAGGAGGAAGGAGGAAGGAGGAAGGAGGAAGGAGGAAGGAGCCAGCGCTTTTCACCTTGTGATCTAACGTATGCCAAGGCCCATCCAAACTCTGTGAAGCTTCAAGTACCCATCTGAAACAAGACAAGTCAAAATCTCCTGCTCCTGCTCCTGCTCCTGCTCCTGCTCCTGCTCCTGCTCCTGCTCCTGCTCCTGCTCCTGCTCCTGCCCCTTTCCGCTCCAGATTCTTACCCCGTCATGCATGCAGCGAAAGTCCCTCCGCCGTTTCGGAGAGTGTAGTGGAGAGGTCGGAGTTGGAAGTTAGGGCCCTTCAACAAGAATCAGGAAAGAGCAGGAGAGAGCACGTGATGATGATGATGATGATGGTGATGGTGATGGTGATGGTGATGATGATGATGATGATGATGATGATGATGCTGCTGCTGGTGATGGTGATGATGATGGTGATGGTGATGGTGATGGTGATGGTGATGGTGATGGTGATGGTGGATGGTTATGGTGATGGTTATGGTGATGGTTATGGTTATGGTGATGGTGATGGTGATGGTGATGGTGATGGTGATGGTGATGGTGATGAGGAAGAGCAGAGGAAGCGGGCGATGGGATCGGGAACAGGAAGCAGAAGCAAGAGCAGATTTTGAAGGAGCAGGAGCAGGAGCGGAAGGAGGAGAGGACCAGTTCAAGGATGAACCATCCATCTGGGAAAAAAGCAGCACCGATGACCTCCTTCCTGCTGATGGTGTCATGGAGGATCTTATTGATTGTTGTTTTACCTGTCAATGGCAAGCTCCTTTGCAAGAACAACATCGAAGTTCTCTAGGTCATAATACTGACAGACACAAGAAAAGTCAGGACAACAAATACAGAATTCCTCTGAAGTCGTGATCTCTGGAGATACAGCAATCTCATTCGAAACCATCTACGTAAATTATCCAAACATCTCTCGGGCCCAGTCTCTGTATGTTGCTAGAGCTATCAACATCATTCGTTCACCTGATATCCCCTTTCTCCGCAGTGTATTCTGACCAGTCCTGCACTCCCTGCATGACTTGCTGTCAGGTGTCTCAGTTGTACAAGCCAAACTCAACCTGGATTGATCCATGGGATATCGGGTGGAGCTCCACTGTGCATGGCCGCCTGTTTGTAAACATCACCACGTTGACAGTATGGCGGATGATGATGATGGTGTTGGTATTAGTTGTGGTTGTGGTTGTGATAATGATGATGATGATGATGACGACGACGACGACGACGACGACGACGATAACGCTTTTGGTGATAATGGTGAAACGATGATTGTAATGGTGAATGTAATGGTGATGGTGGTGAGGTTTGTTTGTCTGAACTTACCATCCTTCCCAAGACCCACAGCACCCCGTTGTTGTCCCAATCACTCTGATAATGACATTGTATGATCTGACCTGAGATTTCACGATGTCATGGTTGAGATCCAAGGAAAGGTTCGAACACAACCGAACAAACAATGTGAAATGCAAGATACATTGAGGAGAAACAGCAGTGAAAGACACACCAACACAAGTCGTCAGCTCACCAGAAGCCTCTGACCCTCCTCGCAACTTCAGACTTTTTCGATTTACAGATTCTTGTTTCTTCAAACCTTCACTTTCCATTCCCGGCCATGTGGATACGCAAGTGCCCAGCGCCGATCCGGGTCTGCAGAGCTTCCCGCCATGCTCCTTTTCGGCGGAGACATCTTCTGCGTGTGTGTCTTCCGGTCGCTTCAGGGATGGCAGGTGCATGCATGCCAGTGGCTCTCCTGTGCGCATGGGCGGCGGAAGCACGCGCGGTGCGTGTAATGGCTCAGCGCACGTGTCCGTCTGCGAGCACAATGAAGCAGCAAGGAGGAGGACGACGATGCTTCTCCTGCTCCATCTTTCTCCTGTAGATCCGCTGAAGCATGGAATCATGCTGTATTTGCTCTACGTGAACCGATTCCACCTTCAACTACGGGATCCAACAGTCCCAGGGCACAGTCCGGTTGCGACTACTCAAAATGCCGTGCGAGCGTCTGTGAAAACCTCTGCACGTCCTCGTCTCATCTTCGGCAAGATTGTTTAGAGCAAGACAAACAGAAACTCGTCCAGTAGGAGGCAAAACCAGCCTACCACTCCCCGGATCCCACGACCAAAACCTGGCAGGGCTGCGCGCCCAGCGCCGCTGCGACGACTCTTTGTGCTCCTGGGGCCCCTGTGAGAGGAGCTGAGCAAGAGACAATCTCAGTTGAATGTCTTCCTCTCCTTCTTCCTCCTCTCTGTCCTCCTCATGCTCCTCCTCCTCTCTGTCAAGCTCGTGCCTGAGATTTCTCCTGCATTGCGGCCGGACCACTGGATTGGACCAACATCACCCTCACCCCTGAAACAATTAGATGAATAGTTTAGTTATTTAATTTTCCATATCTATATTGTCTATGTATTTTACTTATCATATTATTTCTCGTGGGGGTGGTAGCTCACGACAAAAACGGGACAGTGGGGTGGTTTGTTCACCGGTGCTTTGCTCAAGATTTGAGACCTATATCATAGGGGTACTTATGATAACGGTTGGGGTAGTCATTTGGGTGGGTGGGTAGTCTGCGAACAGCCGCGATGGCGAGAGTCTACGGCACCAGCGAAGGTAAGAGAGGGGGAGGGGGAGGGACGAGGAGGACGAGGAGGAGGGAGGGATGCGATAGAAATGGGGACGAGCGAATCCAGATGGAAGAAGATGCAAGCAGGGTTCGTGCAATTATCAGGGAAAAGGGAGGAAGCTCCGACTGTATAGTCGGACGCAGTCGCTGGATGCTCGTTGACTGAGATCGTTCTGTTGCTGGTTGTTGGTCACACGAAAGATTGCGCCGAATGGCATGTGTAGAAGCAAGAGGAGCAAGAAGATTGGAAGACATGTCGATAGTTATGATCCATTTTGATCGCCCAAGATTATTGGAAAGGGGGGGGGGGGGGGGGGGGGGGGGACGTGACAATGAGGATGGGAAGTGAGGCGCGAGGAGCATACAGGAGGAAGAGGCTAGTCTGAGTTTGCAAGTGACGGGTCAACGCTCTTGTCCTCTCTTTTATTCTCATCGTTTCAACGCAGGGGTGCCTCGGAGGCGAGAGCATGGCGCAAGGAACCTTGCTCCTGTGCTCGCCGTTGCTGCCGGGCTCCTCGTCGCTGTCTATGTTGCAGGAGGAGGGAGGAGGAGAGTGGAGCTGGATACCATCCCTCCTGCTGTCCAAGATCTGGAGAAGAAGATCCAGATGGAGGACCTGAAGGGATGGTGCGTTACAGCCTCTGGGTATTCTTGTATTTGATCAAGGGCTCTGGCAGGTTGAACCAGGCTTACGAGAACGGGCAAGCAAGCAAGCCTCTACACCCCCTCGGAGATCTCGACCCGTTCACTCATGAACCCATGAGCGCCGACAATCCAGAAGCTGCTGTGAGGAACGCCAAGACTAAGTACATCATGAACACTGTGTACCAGGTTGCTGCCTGATCAGATCTGATGTTGCGTAAGACGATTGCATAGAATGCGCAGCAGGATATGGCGAAGGCTCAACAGGATGCCAGGGACTATGTGGGAACTGATGCTGGGTGAGCAGAAACTCGTTCCCTGTCGACTTGACCTGACGATGCCTTCAGGTGCACCCATCACGACATCAATCAGACCGACTATGCTGGTCAGATCGCTGACGCCGTGTCGGGGGTGACGTGCATGGCCTGGGCTGATGCCAGCAGGTTCACCTTTGACTGCTAGGACGATATTTCCTCGCTGATGTTCCCTTGACAGTATGCCTTATCCCTTCAACGAGACCAGCCCCGACGTCTATCCCGACCTCTCGCAGGTTTTGCCTTGCCGCTGACGTGGCCCAATGTCCTGCTTATCTTGCGGCATCAGAACTTCTGCCGCAACCCAGGGGCTCAGAAGATGGCAGCATGGTGCTGGTTGAGGTGAAGCGAAATGATTTTTTTTGCATTTCATTTTTGTTGCTTCCACCCCGCCGGCCCCTCCCTCCCTCCTTTTCCCACTCGTCCTCCTCCCTTTTCCTCTCTTCTTCATCGCTTTTGCCGCCTCCCGGTTGATATATCTTCATCTTGATTTGACGTTCCTCTCCGCCAGTACCCTCAAGACTGCGATCGACAACGGACAGAATGTCTCGGGTGAGAGTTGTTGCTTTCCTGTTGCCCCTGTCTTGCCCTGACTGTCTGAGGACTTAGATGAAGAAGGAGTATCTTGGGAATACTGCGATATCGGGTCTCGATGCGGAGTATGCTCATGACGCTCAGCCTGTTAATTCTTGGCTGACAAGAGTTACAAGGTTGATGTTCCGATCTTGCACGCTGTCAACAGGAATCAGGTCAAGACATGTCACTGCTTGTTGATTTCACGTCTGATCAGACTTCAGGCCCTATCCTCTCCTTCTCTCAAGAAGGTCACTTCGCTAGCGTCGCGTCAGGTACTTTTGGTGCCTTTCTCCCCTCACTCGCTGAGATCAACTTGAAAGACTCCCGCAAGCAACAGCATGCAGCTTGCCCACAAGCACAAGGTCCTTTCTACCTTTCTCGCTCCTCTTCCTCTTCCTCTCCTCTTCCACTGACTGTGCCCTGCAGATTCAGTCGCTCTCTTCTCATACACACTTAGCCCATCCCTCGAGAGAAGGCAACGTACTTCTCTCGTCCTGGCACTCGCTGAACTAGCTCTGCAGAGGGATCCGGCTTGCATCATCTGCACATGGCCCGCAAGCACAAGCACAGGTGAGAATAGAGGCACATGATGCTTTCTTTGATGCTGAAAGTTGTGCAGGCGTGCAACGATTAAACAACAGTTGGCATACATGGTGGAGGTTCCCCTTTGACGTCTAGTCTCTTTTTCCTCACTTTCTTCGCAGCAACACTAGGTGGCGGTGAGCTGGCATGTGCGAGAATCCATTGACTTTGTACGCCCGAGCTTTGGACGAAAATGTTGTATAGAAACAGAGGATTGTAGTTGATAGCGGGGGGATGGGATGGTATCGAAACATAAACAACATGTTGTTGGATCGTGCTGTTGCTCAATACCAAACGGAACTTTACGACACGGAAGCAAGTGCAGCGAACGGGGTGACGTCAGAACATTGTAGTTTGCAGAAACGTTCAGCGCATTTAATTTTCAATCTCACAGCTACAGTAGGCCGTCGAGCAACCGTGTTCAAGAAGCAGTTGAATCCTGTGAAGACGTTTTAATCTTGTTAAACAATGTGACTTCTATCTACCCAGCATTGCTAAAGTGGCAGCTTAATAATCCAAGGCGGTGGCAAACTTGACATCGCCGGAGAAGAGCTTGGCGATGCAGTACTTGACCTCACCTGCTCACCCGTTATTCCCCATCAACCTCTTCCCTCTCCTCTTGGTCTAACCCTCAGTCACAAAGGAGGCCGCGCAGTAGTCAAGCGCGAACACCTTCTGGGCACGAGTAGCGTGGGAGTCAGAGCGCATGAAAAGCTTCTGATTTCGCTGCTTGGAGAACATTTCTGCAAGGAACTGTCAGTCTTCTCGTGCCCACCATATCATATCCACCATCCTGTCCTACATTCTATCATCATGATGAGCTAAAAACCCCCTACCTGCCTGTTTCTAGAAGTGTTTCTGAATGTTTTAGTTCAAATCACGAAGGGTCACATCACATTTACGCAATCATAAGTGCCCCAAATTGACGTGTTTGACGTCAAGTTCATCATTACATGAGTCGACAAACATTTCGAACAATTCCATTGTCTCATTTCGGGCCATCGTCAGCTAGACCATCCAAACCATGGTGTATCAACGAGGAGAATGATGATGTCACCAGTCGAAAATCACCATCGTTCAAAAAACCAAAACAACAGCAGAATCCATTTCAAAGCTTCAAAGTAAACCAGCATAACAACATTTTCATATCCGCGCTCTATGTGTCACGAAGAGAATAACAGCAGATGACAGGTTACATCAACAGTGACATTCCTTGAACAATGTTTAGGGAATAGGTTCAGGTAAGTATTGTTCACTTGAGTGCACACACAAGGATAAAACAATGCTCATAATGTGAGTCACAAGCAATGGATTGTTTCCCTCCATCATAACAACGCACTCATATCCACACAAGGTGTCGTTTCATTCGGCAGCATGAACTCAATGTAAGATTTGATTTTGTCACAAGATTCTCTGTTCCTGTTCTGGCTTCCAAACTTGTCTCATCACTTCCTCGCACTCATTGAATCGTTTCATCTTCCTTGCCTCCCCACCATCCCTCCTCCTCAAGCTCCCGACACTCTCCTCCTCCCCTCTCGTTGCATGCCTGCTGGCGTAGGCGGCTGTTCAGAGGCGTCTGTATGAGAGCCTTTAACCCTCACCCCCTCCTCCTCCCCCTATCCAGTGGACTATCGGGGGGTAGGGTCTCAATTTTTTAGGAAGAGCCATGCGAAGAGGCATCTTCATTACTCAATTTCTGAAAGTACCCTACCCCTATCGTGTACTTCAAGCATCAAAATTGACCCCCTCATGTTACTATCAAATGTAGGGTGAATATGACCTTCTTACCACCCCTCACCCCCACTACTCTCTTGACCCCTCGCGAAACCGAGGACCCCGAACCGAACCCTACCAACATCGAGGACCCTACCCCTCACTCGGAATGCCATATCAATACAGTAGGGTAGCGGAATGTGAACAACACAGGGGTGGCGGTGAACTCTTGCTTTGATCAACACCAAAGGGTGAACATTCCTCGTATACGAGACTAAGAGAAAAAGCCTATCCTCTCTGATGTGCTGTTTACAGTCAGGGTCATAAATATCCACCCTTGGTAGGGTGGTATTTCATTCCTGAGGCGGGGTGCGGCAGGAATGGGTGGGGTGTAACAAACGTGTAGACATCTACTATAGAAATTCGGGGTGGTGAGATATTAGAGGGGTGGTACTATGCGGAGGCACAGGGTAGAGACTAAGAGACTATATATTGAGATCCAATTATATTATTTCGACCATATGAGGTCAAGGTATTTTCAAGGTGAAGTGAGGCAATTGGATCGGCCGGGGCCCGGCCCGGAGCCCCAGAGGGTTCGTTAAGTAATGTTCTGCAGAAGGATTTATGACAAGTTCTGTATAGAGAACATTTTTCCCTTACAAGGTGTAATGACGGCGCTGCGAGCGACGATTCTAGCAGCTCTCATGGCAGGAGGGGGAGCCTTCAGCCTGAGCATGAAGCCTCCTTCCATCATGGTCTCTCCTTCTTCATCAGCAGCAGTTGCTCGCTGCTCAAGCACCTCCAAGGTCGGATCCTCGACCAAGCCTACCTCCCTCTCCACGTGGACGCGGACAGGATCCCAAGGAGGGAGGGGAAGAACTATGGGGCCACTCTTCATGTCTTCGGGCAGCAAGGGAGGAGAAAATCAGCTTGCTCAGCTGGCGAGCATGACAACTTTGTCTGTGGACACGGGGGACTTAAAACTTATCAAGGAACTTGCTTCTACAGGATACATCACCGACGCTACCACGAACCCGCTCTTCGGTACAAGTCTGTTGCAAGTAGCGTGCTCGTGACATTTTTGTCTGCAGTCAGCCAGGCTGGTCTCAGTGGCGATCCCACGTACATTGCGTTTGTTGACGAGGCCGTCGCGTACGCCAAGAAGAAGCTCGGTACCTCCCAAGGTGCCGAAGTCGTAGAACTCGCCATGGATCGCCTTGCGGTGAATCTTGGCAAGGAGATTTCCAAGCTCGTCAAGGGCTACGTTAGCACTGAGGTCGATCCGAGGCTCAGCTTCGACGTGCAGGAGAGCCTGCGCCGTGCCCGCAGGATAATCAAGATGTACGAGGAGGAGGGCGTGCCCAAGTCCCGCATTCTCATCAAGTTGGCCGCGACGTGGGAAGGGATCCTTGCAGCTGAGGAGCTGCAGAAGGAGGGGATCAACTGCAACCTCACGTTGATCTTCGGGATGGTGCAGGCGGTCGCGGCTGCCCAGCGCGGCGCCAGACTCATCAGCCCCTTCACCGGGAGGATCCTAGACTGGCACAAGGTTGAGGCGAAGAAGGAGACGTGGGAGCCGTCGGAGGATCCTGGGGTCGTGGAGTGCACGAGGATGTACAATTACTACAAGAAGTACGGGCATGATACCATCTGCATGCCTGCCTCCTGGCGACCCTCCCGTGGTACCCCAGCGCCTTCTGCATTGTGCGATTGAGAGGATTTGACTCTGTGATGGGAAACAGGCAAAGGATACGAGCTCGACGAGATCAGGGAGCTTGCTGGCACTGACAGGATGACGATCCCCCCTAACTTCCTCAAGATGCTTGCGGAAAGCACCGATCCTCTGCCTAGGAAGCTTGACCCTGCCTCTGCTGTGCTGAGACTTTTCTGGAAGGAAGAGTGGGCTGACCTTTGATTGCAGGTGAAGAACTGCAAGGATGCAGAGTTTGGAGGAGGAAAACTGCAGGAGAAGGAGTTCCGCTTCCTGCTGTGAGACGAGAATGGAATCGCTGCAAGCATGATGTAACTTTTGCGCATAACAGGAACCAGGATGGTTGTGCAACAGAGAAGATGTGTCAGGTTTGTCTTGAAATGTTTGTTGCTCATGGTATCACTGATTCGTTGTTGTCCCGTCAGGGCATCAGAGCCTTCGTCGCCGACACGGAGAAGCTAGAAGCTGCTATGAAGTCGAAACTCAACTAAGAAGAGCAGAGGAGAGAGAAGATACATGGGAGTTTCTTTCTTAGTCGTTTTATCGAATAATCTACACAACTTGCACCTATCTGATTTTGTAGCAGACATTCTCAGACTCGTTCGGAGTCCCTCCACGATCCAGACCCTCAAAACAAAGTTGAAAAACGTGCGCAAGGCAACAAAACTATCCCGAGTGACATGCTGCGAGCATCGTCACTCACAACTGCAGCTCTTCCTGTTGGGTTGGCAGGAGGTTGTAGCGTTTCTTCAAGGTGACCCTTTGTTGCGAGAACTTGTCGTCAGGCGAGAAGCGAGCTGTGGAAATCAAGTTAACGCAAGGCACAAACTTTGAGGCGAGTAAGGGACAAGTCGAGATGAGAGCGAGGAGAGAAAAGGACGATCTCGAGATAAATCGAGAAGAGAGAGAATGCAGATCTTCACCTGGGTGCGCAGAAACTGTTGGATTGCCATCAGGGTCTTGCTTCTTGAGCGTGTACTGCCTCATCCCTTGCTCGTTCAGGTAATAATAGAGATGCATTCTGTCTGTGAAGCTCTTGGTTGTTTGTGTGCAAAGTGCTGCCGATCGAAGTTTCAGTACACGAAGCATGTTCTGAAGAGTCACAAATTTGCACATAGCACGTATGACATGTCGTCATGTGTTTTCTCTCGCTCTTCCTCTCCTTGCCATTACAACAAGATCATCTCTCTTGCAAAGCTTATCCTTAGTCATCCTCCTCACATACAACTTCGGCCCCCCATCGAATCTCCCTCTGTCTTGACAATTCCATCAGGTGAGCAACAGGCCCTTGCTCAACCCGAGCTCAAGTTTAAGTTTCTCTTCTCCTGGCCCTGTCAGTTTGAAGGGTTTCGCTTCTTTCATTTCATTGTTCGCGTTTATCAACCTTCCTGTACCCTGAAAATCCGTCTACCGCACTCACATAATTCTCATTCCAATCTCAATCTTCCCCTCTCCCCTCTCGCCCCGCCCCTCTCCTTCTTGAAGCTGTTGCCATTCTCAGCCTTCTAGATATCCCAGCATCTTGCTCTCGTGATTGTGCTCGTGCTCCCATCTGCCTTCCCCCTCACCCCTTCCCCCTTCTCCCTTTTCCCTTCCCTCTTCCCTCCCTCCCACCATAGAACAACATCGCCCATTCTCACGTGCTCTACTGAATGGGTGACCCCACCCCAGAGACCTCTGACAAGGCTCTTCCGACCCACCCCTCTCGAGCGAGAGTGCCGGGCCGCGGCCGGGCCGGCCTCCGGCCGCCCGGCCGGCCCGCGGGCCCACCCAACGCGCGGCCCGGAGAACTTCAAGGCTTAATTTAGGTACGGTTTACAGTACTGGGCCTCACACGTGGCCGGTCACCGTGTTCACCAGTACAAGTTAAGCCTGGCAGCCCGGCCCGGCCTGGACACCGTAAGGCCCAGCCTACCGGGGCCCTCTCACTGGCCCCGGCCACGGCGGCGGTCGGACGGGGGCCGGCAGGGCAGCGGCACCCGTGACCGTCGGCGTCCGATCCGATCGGCGGCGGAGTCACTGTACGGTAGGGGCCTTAGTACTGCCCGCGGCCAGGCACGCGGCGGCCAGAGGCCGGCTCCGAGTCGGAGCCTAACCTAGTCCGGTCCTGCCAGTACCGTAGTACGGTCACTGGCGGTATGCCCGGCCAGCCTACTAGGCTGGCCGGTTAGGCTAACCGTCGGCGAGCCCGGCCGGCGGCCGCTGAGCCGGGCCGCACCGTCGCACAGGGCCGGCGAGTCACCGTACTAGTGAGTGACTCACTGTCAGCCCCGGCCCGGCCGCCAGGGCACGCCGGTGACGGCGGCGATCATCACCTTCAAGCACGGTTCGAGGCCTGAGTCCGTGCGGCGGCGCCGGGCAGAGCCAACAAATCACTATGCCGTGACCGTCCCCGGATTTTTTTTCCAGCTTCCCGCTCAGCGGCTGCGTGGCTGTCACGTGGCTCAGTGCCCCGGGCAGGCCTTCAACGGGGGCCGGATCCCCCGTGACTCATCCGATCAGTTCGTACGTCACTCAGAGGCTGACTCGGCCGTCACAAATAATCGGGCGGGGCACGTGAACGCATCCCTCCAGCTAACGGTCACGAGCCTCTTTTGTTCTAGAAGTTTCTTCCACTAGCCTCACAATGCGGCTAGTTGGCTTTTTCGTTTTGACCCTCTTAAAACTAATCACTTGAACACCCTCCTGCCCGTCCTCAGCCTCGGACTTCTCCTGCTGCTCTGGCTGCTGCTGCTTCTTCTTCTTCCCAACCACACAACCACTTAGCCACCGCAGCAACTCATCTCACACAACCACCGCCTCCTCCTCAGGTCCTGCCCAACACTGCAGTCTCTCAGTCTACCAGCATCACTTCAAAACACAACCTCCTTCTCCCCGCTCCATCTTTTCCTCCTTATCCACCCCCAGCCCCGCCTCCTCCTCCACATCCTCCAGTTGCCGGGCTTTACAAAACGCAACGACTTCGACTCATCCTTGTCCTGCCGTCCTGATATATCGCCTATATGATGCTTTCCCCTCATACCCATCTCCCTCCCGATGATGACTTCTTCGATCCCTCCTCCCCCTGCGCCGACGCATGGCGTCAGTTCGGTCGTGACCTCCAGGACATGCTCGGTCGCAAGCCCGGCGGCTTCGCCCTCGTCGACGTCTCCAAGAGGCCCTCGCCCCCCCTCGTCTACCTCTCCGCTGAGATGACGAAGCTCCTGGGCCTCCGCTCGCCTCGCTCGTGGCTCGGGCAGCCCTGGAGCAGGCTGCTGCGGCTCTTGCCCGACGACCGGGAGGAGGAGGCGAGGATCGAGCGGGCGCTCTACGGCGAGGAGGAGGAGGAGGCAGCTGCCGCCTCGTACGCGCAGTGCGTGCGATGCGAGGGGGGGGGCGGGGAGAGGATGTGGGTGCACGTGTACGTGCAGTCGGGGGCGAGGCGGGGGGTGCCTTTCTCAGCGATGTCATGCTATGACGTGACGGAGCTGGTGGAGGGGGAGGGGGGCGGGTGGAGGGGGAAGGAGAGCTTGAGGAGGAGTCGAGGAGGGTACAGGAGGCGCAGGTGAGGACGGTAAGGGGGGCGATGGAGCTGCTGGAGGAGAGTGTGAGAAGGTGCATGGAGGTGGAAGAAGTTGAGGAGAGGAGAGGATAGTTGAGGTTGGGGGGAGCGGAAAGCATTTTCTTCAATGAGCATGGACGAGGCGGCGGCGGGGAGGAGAAGGGGACTTGGAGAGAGATCGACGACGTGTCGAAGCGAATCGAGACGCTTGGATGAAGAAGAAGACAGAGCGGGAGGGAAGCGGATGAGAACAGATCGATGTGTGCGTGATCAGTATGGATGCCTCAAGCAAAGTCACTCATGGGGCAGCACAGGAAGGGGAGGGAGGGAGGAAGCTGTAAAAGGAGATGTGCGTGTAAAACAACCAAAAATGAATGTGTGTGCTTGTGGAACATACGCGTGTGAATTACTGTGATTGTTGTTGACACTCTCTTTTTTCAGCAGAGGCTATTGCAGCTCAATTAACCTCCTCGGCTTGATTTTCTGCACCTCCTATCCCATCATGGTCTGAGTGAGAAAGAACGTTAAACTCGAGAAATAAGAATCCTCCGACAAGATTTCAGTTCTCTCCTGAGTTACCTGTAATTTGATGCTGAATTCCATCGTGATGAAGCTCACTACCCCTCTTCTATCGGGAGCATCAAGGGGTGGAGACCTTGTGGCTGCAACGACGACTGCACGCTCGCACGCACAAGCAAAATTGGCGTTACAAGCTGGTGGACGATGCTTGAGGAGGACCCACAGCAAATCAACGGAGCTCTTTTCAAGATTGCTTCTTCCAAGGTGGAGCTTGCTCACCACCACAGCCGAGCCTCGCGACCTTGAGCGACACATTCCGTGGAGACAAGTCATGTCGATCGGGTATCGGTGAACCCAACAGCTGCTACCAAGGTACGCATCGGAACCCAAGTTTCCATCACTGAGGTGACTCGTAGATGCTACAGCACACAGCCACTCAGCTTCTAAGCACTTCATCCCCCGCTGCTCTCCCACTCCTTTCCTGTACTGCGACACGTCACGGACACAAGGTGGGGTCAAAGATGCGCATCGTCTACTCCGAAAGGATGCGATCCGTCGGCGCTAGTAAACTGAACCTGCCTGTCATGGCGTGCCTTCCAGAGTGAACTTGCCGCCTTCTTCAAACTTCGTCTGAGTATTTCAAAATTTAGAGAAAAATTTCAGCAGCTCAACATGGATGACCGGTTCAACGGGTACACAATCTGCTTGCTCGCCTTCTAAACGAAGAGCGAGCTTAAAGGCACAAGGTCAGGAGCCATGGAGCTGCTGGAGAAGCAAGTGACAAGGTGCATGGGCATGCTGACAGGTCACTTTATTGCTTGGACGGCTGCCACTAGACAGTCTGTGTCATAGTTGATCTTCTATCTACAATCTACACGACGTCAAAAAGCGATTTGATGCTGCGCAGCAGGGACGGAGGATACGAACTCTTCTCTTCTGTCAGCATTGAGAGCCATATTTATCAGCCCCTGTCCTTCGAAACCTGTTGCATTTCATTTCCAGCTCTTCCCTAGCTGGCACGAGATAGGGCAAGGCTGAGTTTCGGGGATACATTCTGAAAGTTCCGATCATCCTGGCGGCTTGTGAAGGCGGTGCCGCAAGGCGCTGGGATTGTTTGTCAACATGATGTCACCTCAGATCCACTAGCCGAAATCATCTCTGGACAACAAGCAGGTCAAGATCCTTTTGGTGGAAATGATTTTTCTGACTACTGACAGACGTCAAGTTCGTCAGGAAATTGTCGTACAATGATTCAAGTCTGCCGAGATGTTACCTCAGAGAACGACAAACAAAAATATCCGAAAGACGAAGGAGAAGAATCAAAGATAGGACGATAGAGATGAAGAATCCACCATGAAGGCCGGAACAAGACTGTTAGTATCTTTTCTTCAACAACACCTCATTTGGCGACTTGATACTAATTACTAGAAGGCTCCTATCATGTCTGACTATCACACCTCCCGTCTTGCTATGTGTAGAACATCATGAGTCTTCTTTTCCCTTGCCCGCGATGATCCTGCCCATCCTCGTCCCCCTTTCCTCTGCTGCCCCATGAGTGACTTCGCTTCTTCCACACATCCGAAATTCTCATCCGCTTCCTCCCGGCTCCGTCTTCTTCATCATCCAAGCGTCTCAAATTTTCTCCACACGTCGTCAAGCTCTCTCCCAGCCTCCGCCTCCTCTCCCTGTCGTCTTCGTCCCAAGCATCACCTCATCCCTATGCACTCCTCCCCCTCCCTCCTCCTCCCTCGTCTGCGCTCCTCTTCCTCCCGCAGCTCCTCCATGCACCTTCTCACACTCTCCTCCAGCAGCTCCATCGCCCCCCTTACCGTCCTCACCTGCGCCTCCTGTACCCTCCTCGACTCCTCCTCAAGCTCTCCCTCCCCCTCCACCAGCTCCGTCACGTCATAGCATGACATCGCTGAGAAAGGCACCCCCCGCCTCGCCCCCGACTGCACGTACACGTGCACCCACATCCTCTCCCCGCCCCCCCCCTCGCATCGCACGCACTGCGCGTACGAGGCGGCAGCTGCCTCCTCCTCCTCCTCGCCGTAGAGCACCCGCTCGATCCTCGCCTCCTCCTCCCGGTCGTCGGGCAAGAGCCGCAGCAGCCTGCTCCAGGGCTGCCCGAGCCACGAGCGAGGCGAGCGGAGGCCCAGGAGCTTCGTCATCTCAGCGGAGAGGTAGACGAGGGGGGGCGAGGGCCTCTTGGAGACGTCGACGAGGGCGAAGCCGCAGGGCTTACGACCGAGCATGTCCTGGAGGTCACGACCGAACTGACGCCATGCGTCGGCGCAGGGGGAGGAGGGATCGAAGAAGTCATCATCGGAAGAGATTGGGGTACGTGAGGGAAGGAGCATGTAGATGGGTGACAAGGATGTCGATGGTGGCTTTCTGTAGGGAAAGGTGTTGATGGTGTTGGTGAGGCAGTGGTGGTGATGGTAGTAGTGATTGTTGAGGAGGAGGAGGAAATGTCTTGGTCGGGGTGCAAGTGAGAGGTATAGGATGAAGATGATGGAGATCTTAGAGTGTAAAGGAGCTCACATGCATGTTCTGCTCGATTGCCAACGTGCTTGCGAGTGCTTCTTTTGTTTCCCTGGCCCCTCCAAACTCTAGTTGCCCATGTTTACTGCTTCCACTCTGCTAGCCCTTTAGAGCGCACCGTTTCAACATAAGTTTCAAATCTCGTGACATACCACCCCTCTTCTTGCTATATCTTTGAGGGGTACTCGATTGTATCATCATGTCTCGACCGTGACTGAAGAAGTCTCTCACAAGGAAGCGACGCGATCTCGTGGCTCTTCGTTTGTGCGGGCCATTCTGAGGCGGGTCGGTCAAGTTTCCGGGGGGCAGACCCGCCTCGTGCTATCATAATATATAATTCATAATACATACGTACTGAAAGGCGATTGTCCTGGTACCCATTTTTAACTTAAATTTGAGTAAACGGAAATGCCTGACTTTAAAAAACTTTTTCCGATTTCACTTGCTCAGCAGACCTCGGAACTCGGAACCGTTGAACCGGCGGGCCGGCGGCACTCGGCGGGGCCTCGGAGTGACTCTCAACAGCGACCTCGGAAGTTCGGCGCCCGCCGCCCCGGGCCCGGGCCCGCCCGGCACTGCAATCATACTGCCGGTCACCAAGTACAGGCCCTACTAGCCTGGCCCGGGGCTACGGTACACCGGGCCGCGCCCCCCGGTTGTATGACACGACCGGACCGTGCGTCCTGGCAGTCACCGTGACGGTGGAGTCGTCGACATTCTGGGGTCAAACCGCGTTGGTCTTTATTAACGCAAAAGAGGAATGCGTATGCTGTTCTCATAGGATACCGGAACCCGAACCATTGAGTCGGAGTCCGACGGCTCCGGGCGATCAGACCGACCGTATCCGGGACCCGGTGACCGCGGCGCCGCCGGGCCCGCCGCCACGACTGACTCAGTGATAGGCGGCGGGCTGAGTCATCGCCGGGACCATCGGCGAGCCTCAGACGGTCGCCGGATCAGCGGATGCCCGAAAGCAGTGTACTATTAAGAGCATTCCAAGTATAGTGTGGCAGGCACTGCAATAAGAAGCCTTATAGTTAGCCACCATGGCACCGTCACGGTCGCGTGGGACCCTCAAACGAGCTTCAGGTTGAAGCGCTTGCTGCACACAGCATATACAAACGCCGCCTGCAGCGTCATGAACGCCAGCGACTTCCAGCTCCAAGATCCCGACCTGCCGGCTCACCGTCATCCTCAACTTGTGACCTCTCTCAATGTGACCCAGCCTATACGGAGTACCCATACAAGCTACAGTGTGCGCAATCCTCTTTCACTACCTAACGCCCTCATACTTTCATTTCCCCTCTTCTCCCCATCAGGCCCCCCTCTCCGCCGATAGCGACTCTCTTCTCCCCCCGGCGCCGGAGCCTTCCCGCTGCCCCTCGCTCGTCCCTCCCTCTCCCCTCTCTCAGTCTGACTCCTCCTCCTCCATCACTCACGAGGTCTTGTTGAGAGCTCCCTCGATCTCCCCCCAGACCTTGTCCATCGCCTGGTTCGCGTTGCCTGCACCCCCGACACCATCAGCCTCTCCTCCGCCTCGAGCCCCCCGCTTCCCCTCTCCGCCCACGTACATCTCGTCACGATCCCCGCGGGCTCATAGTGCTTGAGGATTGGAACCGTCTCCGCGTGGTAGCTCTGCATCCCACACAACCGCCGTCAGCTCCTTCCTCCTTACATCCAGCCGCTCCCCTCTTCTTATCTTCTCCTCCTCTCCCGTCCACCACACCCGTCTTCCCTTCCTCCCCTCCCCTCCTCTCACCGACAGACGCTTCTTCAGCGCCTCTGCTGTGTCGTCGCTACGCTGCATCAGAGCCTCGCCGGTCATCTGCGCTCCGTCTCTAAGTCTCTCTTCCTCCCTCTCCCTCTCCCTCCTCCTCACGTCGTCCTTCATGTTGCTCGCGCTCGGCTTGGCTGCAATCACGCGATCCCATCAGACCACCCCTTGTCACTCTTTCCTCCCTCGGCAGGCTTCCTCTCAGCCCCTCCTCCTTTTCCCCCGTCTCCCTCCCTCCCTCCTCTTCTTACCTCCCGCTGGCAAGCTCTTGGGAGGAGCAAACTTCACGTGGTACGATCGTCCTGACGCCTTGTGGATCCATCTTCCGCAGATTCGCTCCTCCAGCACCGAGTCCGGCACCTTCCCCGTCCTTACTCCCTCACTCTCCCCTGCCCCGGCTCTGCCGCCTCCTCCTTACCTCGAGCGCGATCACGCAGTTCACCTTCTCTCCGCGGGCTGCGAGCCTGCCCGCCACCGTCAGTCCTGGCCCTTGTCCCTCTGCCTTCTGCTGCTCTCTCGTAGCCGCCTCCCCCCCTCCCCTCCCCCTCCTCT